GAAGCACAATAGACCAATACAGGTCTAAGTGCATGGGGAAACCCACCCTCTCCAATAACTAACTAACTAACGGATTAAGCACTACACTATGACGACGTATAGGAGAGTGAATGTATGGATCCACGTATCGTTGACCTCGGCATTAGATACTGGAACAGGGGGGTGTAACTCCCATAGGGGAGAGGGAAACATGCAGACCAGCCATCTAAGAACATTTACATGAACTAGGTAGTCTGGTAATGACCGGAATCGATCATTATACACCTATCGCATTCAATCGAATCGCGTTAGTGTGAGCCAATCAGAGGATCTTAAATTTCCGTTGAACGATTTTTGGCTCTTTGGCGGGGGGTTCCCACAGTAAAACGAGTAAAACTGCGTAGCTTGTGGGAGTATATGTACGCCATTGAGGTATGTCGTGCAATTAATTAGATTAATTAATAAGTAAGGACTTTGATTTGATGTAATGAAACGAGAGTCCACATTTACGCATGAATTTACATCTGTGTGTTACTTATGTGAATGGATTATGCTTACTACGCCCAGTGAAATTAGAAACAAACAGAAGTCAGTGTTACTATGATACGTCAGCCAAAATGTATTTCTGTATTTTAAACATCTTTCGGTGTAGCCTGAAGAAGGACCGTAGAATCTTAACAAAGTGAGAGTGTACTGTGATTCTGTTATAATTTTTGTATTGTTTCTTGCAGTAGATATGGGAAGAAAAAAAAGTGCTTTGCACCAGGTTGCATATCTTCCAGCAACCATACTGGAATGAAATTCTTCCGTTTTCCCAGGAATTCAGCATGGTATGAGCCAGATCTGAAATATTATTATAAAACATACTGTAATATTTTGGCCAGTGTTATTAAAGGAGCTAAAAATCTTCATTATAATCAAATCAATTTCTAATTCTAGTAACAAAATGAAAACCACTTGGACATTATAAAATCAGACACAGGTAGAAAAATTAATAATGCAGATATACAGTTTTTAAACATTGATGGGAAGTTAACTGATAATCATGATGTTATTACAGAT